TCTGCCGGGACGCCCCGTCCGGGCTCCGCCGTCTCCGCCCGCCCGCCCGGCTCCCGCCGCAGCTCCCGGCCCTTCCCCGGCGTCACCGTGAGAGACCTGTGAGTACTTCACCGCCCGCTCCTGCTGCTGGTGCCTCTCGGGGCACCGCCTGGCTGGTGGGACCAGGCCGCCAGGTGTGCACTGTCGCCGAGGAGAAGCTTCCCTTCTTCGTTGTCTCTCCTGAAAACCTGCATCTGGCTGTTCCCGCTGGGACTTTTCACTGGTTAGGGTTTTTTTTGTTCTTCTATTTGGGCAACTAAACTAGGGATTCTGTCTAAAGCATGACACTAACTTTGGTCCTTAATCCCATAGGCGAGTAACTGTTTGGAGAAGGGTATTTGATTTTCTTCAGTTGTTTCAGTCCCTCCGGGAAGTGCATTGGTCTGTGTGTCTCTGAGACCTTTGAAAGAGATTTCAGGTAGTTGTTGTCGTTTAGTGGAGTACAAAACAGATTATACTAGGTTGCCCCCTGAGGTTCTAAATCCCTTCTCCTTCATCAACTTCTGTTCTTACTTGAATATGAACTCATTGCCAGAATTATTGGAGAACTAGATTCAGAAACCCAGGAGATCTTCGTATGTCCTGGCTCCAGCAGGGCATCCCTCTGCATCCTCTCATCTGCACTACAGGAGACTGGAAACATAAAAATTGCCCTGGATATTGCTGGTTGGGGTATGGACGGCTTTCATGGCCTTCTTGCTGAGTCCTGCTTGCTGCCCATTTTGAATTGTGTGTTCAGCTGGACGTGCACTTCATTGGCTCCCCACCATAATTTTGTTAACACGTGCTTTCCTTCATTTACCAAATCAGGCAAAGAAATTGCTAGAAGAATTTTACCAAATATATTGACTGAGACTTTATGCAGGCTAATCAGGAGATGTGAAGTCATGGCTCTCACAGCTCTCAGCTCCTCTGTATTGCCCTGGTAACACTGTGCAGACTGGAAGGAAGATGCCCTGGGCAACGTAACTCTTGTTTTCTGAGCTCAACACCTGCTAAACTTCACCACAGCCTGGAATATTAGCATACACCTTACCATTTTACACTGCAGAGACAAACTTTTTTTAAAGGACCGGTTTAGGGGTGGTGCGATACTCTTCCATGCGAATTACTTTTAAATCAACACAGAATTCTGCTACAGACCATGGCAGCATCTGTATCGCCATAAGGAGATTTCTGCCAAGAGTTAGTGAGGAAACGTGGTGTTTGTATTCCTCAGAGTCCAATGCTACGGCATCGTGGGTCCCTCACAACCACGTAGCAATACAGTGCACACCTAACCTGAGCATTAACTCTTAAGTTTCCGATAACACCGAGAGTTATGGACTAAACATCACTGTGGGTTTGTGATGGATTTACATCGACTGTGTTCTTGCTTTGCTTAGCAAATTTAAAACCCCAGCGGTATCAATGCATACACAGACCTGAATGAGAGACTAAAGCCTTGCCCCTGCAAATACTGATGTGGAATATTGAGCACACGATTTACCCTTTTAAAGATAACTGCTTTCAGTTTTTAAACACACACGTTGCAGGGTCTGAGCCCATCAGACAATAACAAAAACAGAGCAGTGTGTCTGGAACTAGTTTTGTTCTATAAAGAGGTGCAGCTCTTATACCGTCTCCATTTAAATAAAAGCTATAATATTGTTGTTGTGATATGTAGTTTTGGTACAAGAATGAAATATTCTGTATTTCATCATTGCAACTTTTTTTAAACAGTGTAACCTTGTAAACTGTAAATGTATTTAAAAGCATGTATTTTGCAAGAAATCTACCGAAGTTGGCTTGTTATGTGGTTTGGTCCCTTTATTTGTTTCATGGTTACTTTATTTTTTATTTTAAATGATAATGTTCAACTGTATTTGGCACCCAGCTCATAGACACGCTACACCCTCACTCAGCCCTCTTGTGTCTAGCAAATGAGTCAACAGATACTAGCCCAAATCCTTGCCCTCACTCTCTTTTGTCTCAAATTAAAGAACTGAAAAACAACCCCCACATACAGACGTGCCTACACATATCTTTGCTGTAGAGCCTTCAGAAGCACTGCAGGATTTGGGCTTTGACCAAAAGATGAAATCTTTTGGGGCAGTTCATAGCTAGTGTTTAAAATCAAATCAAAACTGGTGTCTTGGGGAGAGGGAGGGAAACGCACGCCTTGGAAAGGAATTTTTTTTAACAAGCCAAACTTCTTGATAGATAGCTTTGTGTCATGGCAGGTTGGATCCACTTATAACCAAAATCTGGAACAATTACACAACAAGACCTCTTGGAAGAAGCCAGCGCTAACTGTGTATGTACTAGTAAACACAGCATCATCCTACCAAAAACTTAACTCGCTGCTGATGTAACAAGGTTTCATTGAGGTCAGTGGGGCAGCACCCAACAATACTAGCAGGAAGTGGGGCCCATTTTTAAAAATATTTTTATATTTAATCTCATCCTTCAGTATACTTACTTGTTGCTGTGCTTTAAAAAATAACTTGAGAGAACGCTGTTACTGATGTCACTGGCTTCAGGGTAAAAGTGTAAGTTGGTTTTTGCTATGTTTTGTTTTCCAGGAGCAAAGACCTAGTCCTGAACTTTAAGACTTGGAAGTGCTCAGGATCAGGCCTGAACCTCATCCCAATGAAAAGAGAAATCTATAGCACTTGTTTACCATTTTTATTTTGTATTTATGATTTCACTTAAAAATAAAAACATCTAAACCAATCCCTGGACAGGGTTACTGTTTTTTGTGAAAGGCACTGGATTGTTTGGGCTCAAGAAGGCGGGGTGTGACATCGGTGCCCAAAGGGCAACCTTTACCCAGGTTACCTTTGTGGGGAGAGCTGGGTCACCTCTGGGGAAGCGAGAGCTTCCCTTGCAGAGCAGTCAGCATCTCAGCTCTCCTCTGGAGCCTCAGACAAAAGAGCAAGTAGCGGTGGTTGGTCTTGTGATGCGAGCACATTAGGAAGTGGTCTGGGAGTCCCAACTATTCCGAGAACGGCTCTAAGCATGAAGCTCTTCAAGCTTTCAATTCCTACACGTTTAAACTAAAAGGAAGAAAAATCCCACTGCAGCTTGGATCAGCCCCAACCTGACCTGATACCCTAATCCTTTCTGCCACCCAGGTTTTTTTTTCTAAAGTGCATTCAAGCTGGGGGAAAAACATTTTCACAGTTGCATCGGAACAGAACCTGTGAAAAAAATGGCTGTTAAAGGAAACTGTAGAGGCTAATTGCTAGTGGGGAAATGTGCCTAAGTTATATGACTGCCAGGGAGGTCTTTCAACGTTTTGCAGATTCCCCCCCCCCAAGATTTTCAAGCTTTTCTAACAAACTATTGCTTTAAAAATGAGGAAAAAACATCTTCAAAGACTTCATTTTGCAGCATTCTTGCCAGCTTGGTTGAGATTAACAAAAGCTCCTTGCCACCCTCCCATTGCTATGCACATGCTGAGCTGGAAAAAGGGCGTCTGCCGGCTTGGCCTTTGTCCTGCTAAATGAACCATTTCATAGTTATGAATTTGAAAGTAACCTGCAGTTCATACCCTGCAAATCTGGTTAGATCCTGTCTGTGCAAAGAAGGGAAATGCACCAGGCAGAGGGAAAAGGAAGCTCAATCAGTCACGTTTGCTGCAGGATGTTTAAGGAAATATTTCCTTTTCCTGCACAAAGATGTTTGTTGGGCATCTGCTCTTTGGAACGTACTGAAACATTTTATTCTTGGAATAAGAAACCAGTGTAACTCCAGATTTTTATTTATAAATCCATTCCCTGATCAAATACTATGCAAGGAAATTGTTCTTTTTCCTTGGCCATCTTTCAAACCACAAATGCAGGTATAGTCTCTTAAACTTTCCCCAAACTGAGACTGAACCATACATCTGTAATGCTAAATGAGAATCCTGCCTGTCAGAAGCCATACGCCACATGTAAGTGCCATATTCATGCATATATCCAGCAATATATTAATGCAGTATTCAGCATCAGATGATACCCACAATGCATCCTTTTTTTGTTTTGTATACTAAAGAAGAAAATCATGAATTAAGTACACGTTTGAGGATTTTCTTTTGTAAGTCTGCTTGGTAAGACACAGCGAATATTTCTGCTGTATTAGATTAATCAGAAGACAGCAGGTGAATTCTGTTTTCAGGTCAAATACTGCATTTGTTTTACCTGTAGACTGATTGTGATAGGATAAATCATTCCAAAAGCAGAGCCTCAATGGGGCCTCATATTTATATTTTGGAAGTAACCAAGTTCTATCATTCTTATTTTGATCAGGCCTTCGTGCGTGTGTCTGTCTGTGTGACTGCTCCAGACTGTTCTTTGCAGACTCTCTGCAGGAACAGGCTCTCTGTCCAGAAAACCCCTTCTTCTTCCTACCACAACCTCCAGTTATAAGAAAAGGACAATTTCAACCACTGCGTCACTGATAAAACCTCCCATAGCAACAGCGAAGGTTTTACAGTTGCTTGGATACACAAGCCTTGCTTCACCTTTTCTTTTTCTTAAACACAGATTGAGACATTCTGCCATGAATCAGTTTAACAGAGTCCTTTGTCTGTGGCATTTTGGGATTTTGTTTACAACACTGAGCTTCCCCCTCCTTCCAAAGTTC